CGTTTATATTTTGCGTTCTGCCTAAGAGTACGTTTATACATGGAGTCTAATTTGAAGTCTTGGCTTATTTAAGTGGCGAGTCCGACAATTTGTGGGCTTGGAACGAATACGTGGACCTGGTGAGGACAATGGTTGCGTATACGGGCTTAGGTGCTGGCCAAGCCACGGAGAAGGTCCGAGGCTATTAGCCAGGATTTTTCATGACATTACAAGGTAAGATGTTGCCAGCCATGAGGGCTGACCCGGACTGGCTGGTTGCTTGTACTAAACTCTACGCGGGTCTGTGGCTCAAGTTTAGTCAGTGTGAGAAGCTGGCGACAGTGGCGTCGTGTATATAGTGTACATTCATTCTTTTCAATAGACGCATTATTTATCGCGCACTCGTGATATTCTCTGACCCAACAAAAACTCTACAAGCTGCATCTATGTCGAAGTCTTCTAGCTGATCTCTCGACTTTCTTTCATCTATGTATTTCTTTACTAGCTCAAGCCTTTCACTTCTGATTGCAGAGCGGCTTTTATTGACTAGCTTACCTTGTATGCGATGCCCATCAAATACACATATTGGTGAAAGCGTCGAACTTCCCCACTCTATGGTCAGATTGATGCATCCTTCCATGTGTACCAGAAAGGAATCCCAGTCCTTGTACAACACTATTGTTTTTAGCATGGGGGGATGGATGGGTACGAATTAAGAAGGACATATCGATGGCCACACTACCTACTGTTTTATTGCAATCAAGAGTGGTCATGTACGGGCGTAAATATCTCATAAGATCCTTTACACCCATCGTGATGTCTGATCTCGTGTCTGATCTCGTGATGTCTGACTGCAATGCAAATTCAAGGTTGGTGTATAACTATAATTAGGGCGCCGCGAGGACAGAAAGTTCTTAAATATAGGGGTAATTTACTTGGTTATATTCAGACATTCTTATTCGAGCCTATCTATTATTTTGTATAGGGTCTCAAATGGGCAAAACCCATTCCAGCCGGAAAAAAAGCGTCACGGACCTTTTTCAGTCGGATTTATAAGGTTCAGCCGGATATTTTAGCGTCACCGACGTTTTTTGGCGACGGACAAAAAATCGGTGATAAAGTTGACAGGGACTTAGAAAAGCTTACGATTTCAGTGATAAAGTTGACAGGGACTTAGAAAAGCTTACGCTTTCAGTGATAAAACACGACTGGGAAGCCGCGGGGACTGAAAGCGCTTAATCAGAGGGGTGATTCATTTTGTTCATAAACATGTAAATAGAAATATTGGTAAAATATCTGAGCCTTTTGTTGAAAAAAAAAAACTATACTAATAACCATTGTCCGTCCGGTTTTTGGACGATTTTCAAACAGCATGTTTTCAGAGGAGCAGTTGGCGGTCTAAAATCTAAATTCATAGACAACAACTGGCAACTGATAACAAACAGTATTGATTTACGCTGGTACCAATGCACCATACCGTATTTTCTGTATGGTGCCTTTTTGTATACTTGCTGGGTGAGTCTGGTCCCAGACTGGGACTCTGGGTCTCAAATTGGCAAAAAAAGCTAAAAACTAAAGCTGTTACACTTTAAAAAATAGTCTTTAACTCTTTTATTCCATATCGATATATGGGCTCGATTTAAAAATGAAACCACTCTATTTAGGCCTGTTTTTAGTATTATTCATTCCCAAACCCGACCCGTTTCGGGCGTTTACAAACCGTAAGCCACGAACCTAATAAATGTACTCTTTTTCTATTTTAAAATATGCATTATTTTCAATATTGTTTTTTAATGATTTTTTTCCCGGGAATATTCAATCCACCAATAATATTGCGGTTGATATCCAACATAAAACCGTTCACGGGTCTTGACCACTGGCACGAAAACTGAATACATTCTATTCCACTATATACGTATTTTCCTATATCACCAGTCCACATTGCGAACTCGGAGATTCTCCGAGTTAGGTATTTTCAGTATAATTTGTACCTGGAGCGAGCCGTAAATTCCAAAATAAAAAATATATATGAAAACTGCCCTCTGATCGTTATTGTATTGGGACCAAATTACACCCAAATCGAACCAAGGGTTTGTCATTGACTTTGGTAGTTTGCCGGCACATTTCAAATCTCGAGATTGATAATGTGACACTCAAACCAAGTATCAAATTTTCAAGACCAGATCAAGACCTTTTTAGTCGATATTACGTGTGTCATACACAATCAATGGATGGGTGCAGTATACCTTTATATGTTCGGCTAGGATATTTATATGTGTTTTTCATCAACCGCTCTTGGCCTTAAGGAGGCTGTGTGTGTGTTGTGAGCATCTCTTCGATACCAACACACATGGGCCTCTGCGATACCAACATGCATGGGTCTGCTCGTATGATATAGTTGAATATAGAAAAATAGAGCATGCATAACACGTATGCATGATATTTATGAATCAGGATACGAGAATACAGCAATGTACGCGTGTCACCGCTCGTGTAGTACTGCATAGTATTGCCTGACTTTGAAATTGTGTCCAGATTGCGCTGTGGTCCGAGATCAACGCTTATCAAAGAGAGGATGACCGCTGCGAATAGACAGTTGCACGATAATTGCAACGGCCATAAAATATATTGAATGCTTCAACCTGGAGGCGCGGAATGCGTTTTTGAGAATATAGAAACTACGCTTTCTGCCGTTAGCTGTTTCATGTCGGGCACGCCAGCGCTTCATCATTGCGTTTGCTGCCGCGTTCTCAACTGTAGCTTCTAAGGACGTGAGGAAGTATCCCTTATCTGCAACGATTTTCTCTCCCTCGTCAAGCATATAAACTAGGCAATCTCGCGATAGAGTGATGTCAGCTGTCCCGGCTACAAACCCCCTGTTGACGAGGCAAATATCCCCAGCTCTGATTCAAATTATTAATTCGTATGTATAAGCGACGTGTCTCGTTTTGTGAGACATCAATGAGGCTCGAAAAGGATGGGCTTCAGGAACATTGCAATTAATTCCGTCCACCGTAACAAACTTATTTGACATATCATCGGGATCCAACAACAACTTTCGATCTTCGCATACTACCTGTGTGAGATATGTGTTGCAAAGGGTTCAAGTGTTGGTTGCAATAATTCACTGCAGAATGTGCACACGAAGGTTTTGTATGCTGTGAGCTATGCAATACACCAGCGGTTTAAATTTCCACAAATGCTAAGCCAATATAGTTGATGTAGGATACACCACTTATTACATGTAGAGTTCAAATCTCATCAAAATTTGTTTGTAATTCACAATTCGCAGATAAGCGTATCAATATTCTCCCAGCTCGACTTAGAACTTTATGCAAGACAATCCCAAATTTGACATCCCGACATCCCGCATGCAAACAAATAAGTTTGAACACACACACTGCCATGTCAACATGCACCAATTGGTAATCTATAGTATCATGAAACATGAGTATGATTTTCTGCCAAAATCTATCGCGAAACACGTCTCATGTAGTGTCAGTTTGTAGCCAGATCAGTGGAGACAACATTTATTGCATTATACTGATTGACTGGTGATATCACACATAATAAACACATACTAAAGTTTTAAACACACGCTAACATACGATCCCGGTCAGTCTGTCTATCTGCTCGACGACGTACGAATGCCATTTATTATATGTCTTTGTGGCGACTCTGAATGTTGATGCCCCGACATCATCCTTTGGGTAGCATGCTAAGAAGTGCATACCCATTAACAGATATGTTGGTGTAGCACGGGTGTGAAGTAGCGTTGTCAGCTTATCGTAAATGATCGTGACTACCAGTGCTGAGGCGCCAAACATTGCCTTGAACTTTCTACCAAATAGATGATCATTTACACGTCTACAATTCATGTAGCGGAGAGCTGTTTATTTAATAGTGGTCACAGATGTCATAATTCAAATAGAGATCCAGACAATGTAGGTGAGAGTCACAAAGTATGCACAATTCTGTGTATATCGTATGTATTGAAAACGTAGTCCTGTATCATAAGCCTATGCTTGCTCTGAGGTAAAATGTGTTGCAGCGCGTACAAAACTGTCTGAATTTGTAGTATTTATAGTTTAGGGGTACGCAGTTGGGGAATTTATGAAGAGAGGTCTGGTCTGAGGATTTGAATCCATTGATACAAATTTCAAATTAAACCGATGACACGCAAGTCGCAACTGATGTTCTCTCAAATTTCATTGGTACGAATTACCGCGTCTCAATCTCCTAGTAATCATAAGTCAGTATTGTATTGATTTTAGTGGCCACTTGACTTTTCCTAAGTTCAGGGCGTTCAGAGCTTCATAACCTTCAACAATATTCACCTTTAAACAGTTGCGTACGGAACATCTTACAAACGCACTCGCGCAAGTTACTGGATCCGTATCCAGTTCAAACGATCCCTGGTCATCAGCATTCGGGTGTGTATCCTTCATCGAGTTATGTTAGTACTAATTGCAAATTCTACAACCATCGTATACGTGCAATAATGCTGTAAGATCACACAAACCTAATGATTACTAAGGGTTGTGTGTACACGTATACTGATTTGTTGTTGTGATTATTGATTGCACTAGTTTTAGGACCATGACACGGAAGTCTTCTAAGCGACAGCCCACTCGGTCAGAGGCAGGTTGCTTTTCGAGAACGGGCCAAGAATTTTTTTTGCAGAAAACCGTGAGCCCCCTTCGGAAGAGGATATTGACGACGATGAGGGTGCGCCGTTTCAGGAAGAAGAAAGTCCAGCCACAACACGACAATTCAAGGACATACAACAACCAGTGCGCACTAAAATGGCAGCAACCAGTGTCAACGGTGTAAAGATTATATCGGGCAAACAAGAGGCCAAAGCGCGCGAGTTTGTGCGCACATTCCTCAGAAATACAGAGCTTTCTCTAAATTATAGACTGGTGGAAACCACACTCCGACTACGAAGTATAGAATGGTAGCAGTGCGCATTCAATTTATGGCTACGCAGACACTTGCTGATTTCAGCCCTCTGGAGTATAGTCGCAGAGCCACTTCATTTAGCTTCACACACAAGATTCCCACTGCATTCATAGAGCTGCACGTTTACGTAACGCAGGACGATACACCAAGAAAAGAGGTGAGAGCTGCGTTTAAGGTACAGCTCACACTCGTGAATGCAAAACTACGACAGGAATTTTTGGGGGGGGGGGGCGCGAGTCCGTGCGAGCTACAATGAGTGTACATTTACCATTCAAAGTTATTTCTTTACCAAAATGTATGGACATACAAATACTTCTGAATCCAAAGAAAGAGGAAATCGGCCTGGTTATCACATTCACAGAAGACGCAGTGGAGAAGGTCGACCAGGCCGACAGGCTTACATCAACTCTCACCCGGCAACACTGATGTTATGAGTGCGCACCCAGCTCTGTACAGAGTAGGGGCATCATGTATAGATACAACACATTATATAAAGGATACAGACGACTATATCGTGATTATGCATAATGTATACATACAGCTAGGTAACTATTCGACTATAAATTTCAATAAACACAGAAATATGGATTTCAATAAATCACGTGTGTGTGCACATGTTCTCATCATTAAGGTACGCCGTATTGAATACGTGCTACTACATACTATACAAAACTGTAGAGAACGATATACAGATTGTCGATGTAGTGCTCCCCTCTAACTGTAGGCTGATCTACATAGAACCGCACAGCTGTACACAACTGTAAGCTACACCATATAAGCTCATCATATATTCTAGCGCCATATCTAACAGGACAACATTCATACTATTTCATAAGCACACAATACGATAGTATACATAAACTCAATAAATAAGTATATGCAATACCAGCTCACGTCATACAAAAAATATCATACTATCTAAACTTCAACGAAGAGATTATTATCCATCATGGCCCCATGTGTACGCACATCGCTAGCCTATACACAATGTAACCCTTAAGAGATAATCTGGTAGGTGAATGGAGGGCAGGGCTCTATATCATACTTCCCAATCACTAGTCGGTTTGATGAAGACTTGTCGAATGTGAGCAAATACACACCGTAGTCGCAATGGTGCACGTATACGTATGACTTATGTATCCAACGGCATTACAGTAGGGAATAACAAGACGTGCATAAACGATTCTACTTAAGTCAGAACAAGGAAGCAACATCTAAAGTGGTAACAACTACAATGAATACTGTCAGAGAATACACATGGGCTATATACAAGCACGCACACACCATTGTGACCTTTAGTTGCCATATGTATAGTCATTTTGCCGAGTGCGGAGAGCAATAGAATCGAAACCCCACCGTGAGGGTATCCTTTAGAGTTTATTTACCGATGTTATCGGAGCCCCAGTTGATATAGGTGCTGTAGGTGCGATCTATTAGACACAACACCTTATTAATAAAAAGTCCAACCGGAAATTCGACGCTTTCCTCCAACAGTATTGTCGTGTAGGATGTCTAGTTGGGGTATACGGTGGGTTTTACAGTGGAATTGTATATTTTGCTGATAAAACACTGAAACAAATACCTTACCAGGGCACGCTTTGGCGCGTTTTGACGCGTTTTGGCGTGTTTTGGCGCGTCTCGCAAGTACGCACGACTGGAGCTTTATGGACAAGAAAGCCACAACCGAAGCACGACTAGTGCACACTGAGAATAATTATGGCACATTTCACACCCATATGCCAGAATTGATTGATATATGCCAAGCAATAAATCCATATGGTCACGCGCGCACAGCCCAGCCCAAAACTGGAAACAGAACGTGATGCATTATAGTGTACACGACGGCGCCGCTTCATGTTTGGTTGGGATATTCACTATCTGTAGCAGCACACATCGGCAATACTTGTACACAGAGACATATTTATTCAGCCCGTAGCTGGTATACGTGATAGGTATTGACATGCAAGGTTCAGCTACTAGAGATGCATAGCCGATGGAGCGTGCATGCGATTTCAGTATGCATAATACTAGATAAGCTCTCCAACACACTATGCACACTTAGTTATATGTGCACTACGAACTGCACGTTCAAACATATGGCTGTCAGTCTAGGTGTATACATATTCATTCGCCGCAAAGATTGAAACCTCAAACACTATGATATACCAGCATATATTTATATAGGGAACGCGACAACAATTGAAAGTGTACATGTTCAAAGGGTGATTTCCTGTGACTTTGATAACATTCACAGCTTGATTTTCATATAAAAGTATAAAAAAACATACCTTAGTGTTGCGCGGAGAGCTCAATTTGTGTCAGAGTACTTCGGTTAGCACGGCAAGGTTTGCCATATGTAGTGCCTTTGAATGACGTATGTATTTATGATATCTCGATACCTCTACGTTTATGTGGTTACAAATCAGCACTGTATTTATATCGACACGCACATCAAAATGTCACGCCTACTAAGCAACGCAGAGTCTAAACAAAATACATCTCCAATACATGAATATCTATCAGCAAAGGCGAGAACCCAAACACCCGTTGCGACTTGGTTTATTATACCAAACTCCTACTCGCTTACATCTGCGCTAGAGAGGAAGCAGAGTATGTTTCATGTCACCGAAAGCATGAGTCGTTCCTCCCGGTTGCTGGTTGACACGATGACTACAGCTTCCATCAAAGTCCAAGCAACAGCATAAACAACACCACCTTTTTCATCTCCTGAGTTTTGTAGTGCTCCGGGCGTGTGTATACGGCGAAAGGGAGATCAATCCTCATTGAGCACCATATAGGTGCATCTACTTCCGAAGAGCTCCGAGTCATCTCATTGTCCACGTACACATGAGCCTGAAATATATCGCGCCAGGCTCCGTCCTTATCGTTTGCAGGATGGTGGTTACTCATACTAGCCCATTCACTATCCATCTCATACTCGATAGTGGCCTCATTGGCATCGTCATTAAATTGTATGGCTCGAAATTATCCATCGTCATCCCCCACGGGACCATTACGAGCAGCACCAGATCTCGACAGCGGGATTTGGGGTTGTAAAACACAATATGTCGTGTCGCGAGATCGTTGTGGAATGGCGAAGGGTTTTCCTCTTCGTCCTCACTTTGGTCATCATTGGTATCAACTCCGCGGAATAGAGGCATTGGCTTGGTGTCGGGTCGTTCTGACATGGATGATAGACGTCTCTTGACTTCGTTGCCAGTGTTGATTGCTGGTAATGTAATCGATAGGAAGAAATAGCGATATTGTGTGTGACAACATCTTTATAGTCTTCACTATACGGACCTACCCGCTGAGGACAAATCCCGATCAGTATAGATGGCCACTCGACATGTAAAGTGCACAGGCACACCTAATTTTACAGTAATACCATTAATCTTTAGTCGGATATGGAAAAAAAGAAACAATTGTGAACCTAATGTTGCAATGGTGTTTCCCTTGGGCATCGAATTATAATGTATGGGTGAAGATACTTGATTGCGTAAGGAATGAAACAAACAGGCTTATATATACGCATTATCCCATTATGTGCCATATAGAGCTGTAGAGTACCCCTCATATATGGCTGTGTTTTTGTATGTGGTAATGATTTTGAAACAATATTAAGTTTCCGAGGAGACTTGTGTTTCATTACTGATAGACAAGTCAAGCACTATAAATGATCCGGTAGACAGACAGTAGTGTCTCAAATAAGTGGCACACCGAACTTTAGTATAATAGGCCACAATCTCGGATAGCAAGCTAGGTGTGTTTATGTGGTGTCTTCAATTTCAAGATACATCTCAGATGATAATGTATCGATGTTGTACAGTCACCAGTATAAAGAAGGGTATTATAGTCATGTGTACTCTACTAAATCGCGATGGTCAATATCATATTACAGGAAGAACTCTGAAGTACATAAATAGACACAATCTGAGTGCACCCACAGTTTGCTATATACATGTATCTCATCGGATAGTCAGTTCAGGCACATACTACTCTACTACATAGCGTATGCATAAATCACCAATATTTAATCTGCAAAAATTTAGTAATTTAAATATACATGTGTAAAAAATGCCACTGTACTAAAATAGTATCACTGTATTTGCCGGACAAAAAAAAAACATATTTACAACATTGAACTCACACCTGAAAAAACGATACGTACAGAGGCGAAAGTATTGTAAGCACATCATTACATTTGTAGCTGGATGTATCTTGTCTGTATAGCAAGGGACAAAAGAGTGTGCGTGTGTGTGCAGTGTCGCGGTGTCAATTGTGATGAGTAGTATTTCACTTTACATATTCATTCTAAAGTAAGTGAGCGAAATTTAGATATTCACATCACACTACGGCATCAGCGAGCAGATATTTATAGTAGAATAAGGATACGTTTATAGTTATTATGCGGATTACTGTAACGATTAGAGTTCACAATATGTAAGTCGCATACAGCAAGTTGTGTGTATTTATGTAGTAGGTGCGTTTCGATTACACACAAGTACAATACAGTGTCGTGTGAAATGCTACTCTAGTATATTGTAAGAAATTTATAATTCAATTACGTATTTTTTTTACTGCAGTAATCACAGAAAGATACAAATCAGTGTCAGATTACCACGTAATATAACAAGACTTGTTGTACAATATTGTCGACTACGAGTACACGAATACATCTTGTTTTATCAAATCGACGGAAGAGATCTTCACAACGCTGTAAGTTCTCTTGTGGTAATTAAATCAGATAGCACATATGGCTATAAATTGTCAGGGTTGTGTCTGACTACACTAAGCATAGTGATAGATATTTGCAGCAGTGACTAGTGCAAGCTGAGTAGTTTATAATCCGCACTTTACAGATCTGCTGTGTGTAGCTATAATCTAAATGAATATTGATTTAGAGGCGATAAGTTCGTTGATCCCTAGTAACAAGAGCACGCACAGCAGTGACACTAACATCGATGCTATATATATATATGAGCATACACATATTCGT